CGCGGCCGGCACACAGGTGCGCGGGGCAGGGGTCCGCGCCGGGGCGCGGGCAGCTTGGCTTGGGCTGGTGCCACGAGGCCCCGCGCTCCCGGCCGGGAGTGGGCCTCCCTCCCTCCTTCCCCCTTCATACCGACATGATCAGATCGGGCCAGGCCCCGGGGGCGTCGCTGAGGTAGGGCCAAGCCCCCGCCTGCTGGAGCCCTGCGGCCCGTCTCCTCCCCTGCCTCGGGGCACCCGGGCCGGGCTGGGGCAGGGGCACGTGGGCGGCTATTGCAGCCCCGGGTTTGGCCTCAGTGGGCGGGTGCACGTGGGCGTCTGTTGCAGCCCCGGGTTTGGCCTCAGTGGGCGGCTGTGCCAGCTCCTCCCCACCGTTGGGTTGGCACCGGGGCCGTGGAGGAGAAAAGCCCTGAGTCCTTCCAGCGCAGTGTCTGTTTGCCTTGTTGCCCTGGTGTTGGTATTGCGGGCACCACTGGTCTGCTCGGGTACATCAGGTTGTCCCCAGGCGCCCCCTGCGCTAGGCAGCACCGCTGCCTTGTGAGGACCGTGTCAGCTGGCTGGAGCCAGTACCTGTCCAGGTGTCACTGGGACTTCGTGGCCATAGCAGAGAGTCCTGTTGGCTACTGGTGCGGTTCTTATGCTAAGGTTAAAGTACCAAGTGTGACAGCGAGTAGAGAGCTGGAGGGGTAAAATGGATGTGAGAAGAGCTCCTCTTTTCAGGCAGATTGAGCTTCTCACAGCCTTCTGCGGGAAGCAAGAGGCATCAACTGGCACATCTTGTGCAGTGGTTCTGATGTGTTCTGGTGACGTCCTCCCCAGCCCCAGCGTACCTGTCTTGCAGGAGGGAATCTGTGATTACCATGCTGACCAGCATCAACCAGGAGGAGGGACTGTCATTACTTTAGTGTGGGAGTATGTGGAGTGTCTTTTCCTGTTAAGGAATGAGATTTAATTATGTACCTGGCAACTGTCATCTTTCCTCCGAATGCAGCTGTAGCTGGGGGAGAATGTAGGAATTGCTTAACAGTGATCAGCAGTCATGTAGTGATTTTGGATCAGAAAGCAAAGGATTTGTCAGCATCAGCTAAGTGAAATTGCTGATTTAAAGTGCAAATTGGTGAAATGGACTGAGAAATGAATCAGGAACTTCTGGGCCTTTTGCTTTCAGTAGAAAGGAAAAGTAAGGGAAGCTAGAGAAAACGATAGCTGAAAATAATTCTGTTTCTGCTTTGTGATGCCTTAGCACAGTGGTTCTCAGCCTTATTGGATTCAAGGTACCCCTCCAGAACTCTTGTGAATTGAGTGGCATCCAACTTCAAAAACTAATTATTCATATTTCAGTTCTTGCCTCCTTATACAGGGCCTGGGCAATAAGTGCAGGGCATCATCCAGGCAGGGACAAGCCTGAACTTGGCTTATCTGCTTAACTTACGTGCATATCTCCCCACACCTCATGGTACCATTGAAAGGACCTAGTGGGACCTTGCAGTGCCCTGGCATCCTGGTTGAGAATCTTCGCTTTAGCACTGTGACTTGTGGGACTACATCTCTACATTCAAGGATAAAGCATGACCAAACACTTTGCTAGTGTGTCTACAAAAATAAGTTTATATAAGACTAATTAAATGGGGAAGTTTTGGGGAAAGGTGTGGAGGTGATGTGAGAAATGATCATGGTAATGGCAGGCACTTTGCCCATCTAGAGTTGCCAGCCTAGCAACTCACAGCCCCTCAGGCCTGAATTAGGAGCTGGGTGTCCCTTTCTTCCCCAGCTTCCCTTCTGTGCTTTCTTTATGGGTTTTGTTTGTTTTAGCTTATAAAGTTTTGATTTGACGTGTATGGTACCTAGCATAAGGAGGCCTCACTGTGCTGCAGCAGTATAAAGAATATTGTATGATTTTAAAAGTGTGTGCATGCGCATGCTTGCTTGTCCTATTCAGTAGTTCATTTTTGAGGGTGTTTTAAAGGGGATGGCACAGTCTGTATTTTGGGACACTTGGGTAATGCTTTTGGGAGGGATTTTTGTGGCCTGAAGTTAATGAGGTAGAGTTGGGAGAAATGTATCCCTTTAATTTAGGCAAGTGTTGTTCAGAACTGCTGTTCAGGGTATTCCTGGCAGTTAACAATGCCAGGGGAAGTAAAATGTATTGGATGCACTTTTCCAAACTGTTTTATTCCAGAAGGAATCTTTATTTTACAATATCAAAATTGCATCGGCTTCATTATGTAAGGGTGACTCCAGACTTCTGTTGCTATCAAGACATGCAGAAAGAATCATAGGAGGCTAAACAATACAGCCTTGTGTTCCCTTCTCTAGTTTGCTTGGCTTGGGGCTTGTGAAAGGCATGAAGTTCCCTTTACTTGATTTTCTTTAAGTGGATATTATGCTGAAGGAGGGGAAAATGTTAAGCTTCTTGGTATATATAATCAGTAAAAGAACTTTTAGTATGCCATTTTCCTAAAGGCACATTTTGGAATGAAATAATTAAGCTGAAGAATTCTAACTGGAATACTTGTTATTCAGTGGTGCTCTGTACTAAAAACAGAACAAAATCCCACTGGTTATTTCAGCTTTGCAAAATTGTCATTAAAACTTGCTGACTCAAGCACAGTCTTTCTGCCCATGTTTTACTGCAATGGGAAGAAAAATCTCTGATGTTTTACCTGTTAGAAGTGGGTGGGTGTACTTGATGGCATTTTGCAAAGCTGAGACCTGTTTGAAATAATGATTCAGGTTCAGCTGCAACCCAACAATTTTTCCCCTATAATTTGTAACTTAAAGAATGAAGCTTTGCATTTAAAGATGCTAGGCATAGGTCAGGAGTACCAAACGTTCATAGAGCTCTGCACTGGATCTGGATTGTAAGGCCATGCCTTCCTGATAGGGGGTCTGTAGCCAGGAATTCAGCGGTGGGCCCTGTGCCTGCTTGCCTCAGCCTCTCCAAAAGCCCTGGAAGCAGGCTGAAATGGCTCTGCAGGACATATATGGCCCTTGGTCATGGCTCTGATACCCCTGGTATAGATGAAGATTTTTTTTTTTGATATAGTGGTAAAGAAGTTGCACAAAATGCTACCATGATTTATGCTCTACCTTCAGGTTAATCTGTTTGCTCTACTTGGCCAAAACTTTATGGAAAAGGCTGAGTTAAATACAGTCTTTGGTATTGTGCTTCACTAACAACTGATGATGCAAATAGATACACATGCTTTGAGATTCCTCTTGATGTTGGAGCAGAATTCTGATCTTACTTGGAAAATTAAGGTGCTTGATAGACTGGGATCAGCTTACTATTTATCTTCTACTATTACTATATTTCACAAGAATGATGCAGTTCAGTCATAATCTAGGTCTGCCATCAAAAACCCCAGATAATGGGGCATATGACCAACAGGGCTCATAAAATCCTTGCCAAAGGGTCACATTGAGCTTAGGTGTGAGGGTGCTGACATGATCAAGGTATGCCCTTTAATCTTTCTGAGAGAACTTCACAGGCAATGAATGTGTCCATGTTTTTAAATAAAGTCTTAAAACCAATCCATCTCCTCTGCCATGAAAGAACAGAAAAGGGGCGCACCTTTTTGTTCCTCTACTGCATGCAGCTTAGTGCAATGATATTTTTGGCATATATTTAGCCAGCGATAGATGTGATGTACAGAGAAATATCACCTATTAGGCTGTTATTACTTTTAAAAATGCCTTCTGACTTACCAAGAAACTGTTTCTACGTTAGCCACAATGTGGGGAGTAACTTCTGAATTTGAATTGCTAGTCTGTTTGACTGGTGTTTGTTACCACTGCTTATAAGTGGAGTGAAAGATGAAGGTTCTTGGCCAAAAGCGCAAATATGACAGTGTTGATAGAGAAAGAAGGGATGGATACCAAAAAGTTTTCGTTTTATGGTGTGGTTATCTTTTCACACAAGTTTGGAGTTGGAGGTCTTGCATTCTGTTCCCATCTTTTTCTTACTAACTTTGTTGGTCAAGTGTCTAATATTCAAACTGAAATATTTGAAGTTAAGCACTAAAGATGTCAAATGGTATGCAGAGGCAGAATGGCTACGGCCGTGATTCTTAACCAGGGTGCCATTGGATCCTTTTAAAGATACCATGCAACACTTGCAGCATTAAGTGTGCAAATACCTATGTATGATTCACAAGATAAACCCAGAGATTTTAAATAGGAATCCAGGGTGTCAAACATTTGGACCTGCTGTTGTCTTTCTGAGTTGTTTTAGAACAAAAGAATGGCTCTACTATTTTTCTCTCTTCTCTTCTCCCCCCCCAATTAGACTTGGAAGACCTTTGAGAATAAGGCTATGTGGATATCTCAAGGGAGCTAAGTCTTCTGAGATGTAAAGCACTTAGAACTTGTTTGATTTCGGTGGCAGCTGTGGGTGACAAACATCCCTGAACAAGATCACTTAAAGCATTGGTGTTAAACTTGCTCCAGGCCAGATTTGGACCAATGGGGTTCCTCCCAGGCCAGCGTTAAGTGCAGTGGGGCTGTATTTGGCAGCGATATGTTCAGGGCCTCATTCATCAGGGTGCAGGGACCCAAATTCTGTTATCAGGACATACCTCCAACTTCTGGTAGCTTGCTAGACTACTGGTGTGTCTGTCACATGTTTGATGCCACTGACTCAGTGTCTGAATACAGGTTAAGGTGTTTGACTTTGGACCCCTGTACTTGGAAATGTTGGTCTTTGCATCTTGATCATATTTTTAAATTAGGCCAGGGGAAGGCAAGAAGTAGGAAAGAG